AGGTGCAAGAAATACTGTAGGAATGTTCTTGTTGAAATCATGTCCTAGCGGCGCCCCTAATGACGTGACATTGTTAATAAGATCACGTCCAGTGCCCATAATTATGAAATTTCTACCTGACGTGGCATTTTTAGCGATTAAGCAATGGAAGATCAGCACGTGTGGAATATGGAAATTTCTCTATAATAATATTCATTTAAGAAATTCCTTGTATGCCATTTTCTCCGGATACGTACGTACTCCAATGTCAGTATAATATAATATTCATGGTTCTCCAACAAACGCATACGGTTAAGGGCAGTCCCAATGGTGTATTGACGATGGTTTCTATCCTCATTAAATGACTTGCCACGTAGGTAAAATGCTGACATGGCAACGTAGTTAATGAAGAAAGAGAGCAAAAATCATAGAAATGGTTTTCTCATGAAGAAATCAGGTCTTCTCTTGACCCAATGCACCAAGAAACCATGAAATCGCCATTGGGGAGAAACCACCAGTTTCTAGGGAGCTCGTGCCGCACTCCCATTGAAAGAAGAAGATAGAGTTGGGAGAGAGAAAGAGAAAATAATTATTACTCATAGAAACCATGAGTTGGAAAGCAGTACTTTTTTGTTACGGTATTCTATGTTATAGAAACTACTAGTTTTTTTCATTGGAACTGCCATAAAAATTTATAAGTTCATGTAATCTCAACTGTAGCAGTATAAGTTCATGGATCCGTTTAGAATATTCTCTGTGGATTCCTTGACTCTGTGTCCAGCTTTTTTGATGGACGGAGTCATCCCTCCTCGCGGCTGCGCTATGTCATTCTGGTGGCTGACGAGACATCCATGGAGTAGGAGCAGGCGGCGGCGCATCCAGCAACCCCACGCGGTGGAGGGCATCACCAGAGGCATGCAAGGCGGCGGCGTCGCACCTGAGGGCATCACCAAATGGTCGCACAACCTCCGCCATCAGCACCGTTGCGCGCCACCGTGTGAGTGAGGTTCGCAGCCGGCCCTGCCATGTGAGGTCGTGGGCGACCTCCATCGCCGGCCCCCCCACGTGTAGCCGTGCGGGTGAGCTCAGGCCTCGGCCCCACTACTTGGCCAAGCTCCATCGACTCTGTGGGCCCCATGTGGGAGAGAAAGAAGAAAGGGGAAAACAGAGAAGGGAAAAAAATGCTGATTATGTTTATGTGGGCTCCACGTGTCATAGTCTTATTCAAATTTTTTTTTGGTGCCCTCAAACCAGGACAGGAATGATCCTTTTTCTCTCAACCAAATAGGAAATGAAATCATCCCATCGCTTAAAACAGAGGCAGAATCGTCCTGCTTTGCCCTTGTCTTGCAACCAAAACTACCTATCTGCAGAGCAGTAGCCCTGGTATATCCGTATATGTTACTGCTCGTGTCTTCGTGAAGGCATGGTGGCATGCCGCGTTGCCACACGGTTCATCTGACTCGGCGTCCTCTGCATTGTTGTCGCAGTCTTGCAGGCATGGGGAATGACATGCATGCCTCGCCGGATGGACCCCAAAGGCACAAGAATCAGACAGGAACATTGAAAAAGATACATGTATAAAAAAAAACGTATCCATACTCCCTACATTTCTTGTTCAGAGCCAGTTGCGGCACAGGCATTTCCTATAGTTTTGATGTCACAGAGGTATGGGGTGTTTAGATATTAATTAAAAACAAATTATAGAATCCGTTGGTAATCCGCGAGACGAATTTATTAAGCCTAATTAATCCATTATTAACACATATGTTACTTTAGCACCACATTGTCGAATCGTGGGCTAATTAGGCTTAAAAAATTCGTCTCACAAATTAGTCGTAAACTATGCAATTAATTATTTTTTAATTCATATTTAATACTCTACGTATATGTTTAAACATTCGAGAAAGTAAATTTTAGGGAAGGAACAAAACAAGATCTCAGATCCCATTTGCTGTGCATGCAAAGTGCAGCATGGGGCCTGTTTGGCCTTACACCTGCCAAAATCTTTCATGCTGAAACGAGTGGAAAATCACAAGGGAAAAAAAGAGAGGAGATCTACCAGCACTGCATTTTGCAGGCCAACTTTTATCGGTGATCATTCATGGCTTTTACCAACTTTCTCCATGTCTTGTTACTCCTACATTACTGCAAAAAGCTCTTGAAGGCTTTTACCAGAGTCTTCACTGCTGGCTGCTGAAGATCCAACAAGGCAACAACACAATGAATACAGTGATCGAGCCCCAGCTACAACTGCAAAACAACCTTCGCGGCTTCGCCAATCAATGCCGAGAGGAGCAGCTCATCATTACTCGAAAAATAAAGATCCGTTTTTCTAGAGTGTAAATGTGATCAATATTACTTAGAAATTACGTTTTAGAGCATCTCCAATAAACTTTCTATACGATAGAAATAGAGATTTTGATATAAAATACCCTCAACAGCTTCTTCAAATGATTATGCAAATATAACCATATTCTATCCTGGATTTCTCGCTAGCTAAAAATAGAAGACGAGAATGACTCTCTAGAGTGCGCATGATATATAGAAAAGCTGTTGGAGAGTGAAAAGATATATAAAGCGATTTTTATGCAAATAACTCTCTAAATAATGATTTAGACACTAAGATTTAGAAAGGCTCTTGAAGATGCTTTTACCCGTATCGAAACCCATTTTAGCATGTAATGATTGGATTTAAGAAATAGAGAAAGTAACCTACTATAAACTAAGTGGACCATACTTAAAAGTACACTTATTTTGGGATGGAAAACTAATATTTTATATAAAATTTGTAAACTACAAAGTTATAGATCGTATTGATAAACTGTAACTTTGTATAAACTATGCCAACATCTCAAGTCGTTTGAAAAATTTAAAATTTGAATTTCAAAATTTGACAATTTAAAAAGAATTTGTGGCACTCCAAATAATTTTAAATAAAAAAATTATCATCTATAAAGTTGTAGATCTCATTGAGGTCTACTTTTTTTATATAAAGTTTGTCTTTATCTGACTTTATATACAAAAGTTATAATTTTTTTAGATAACTATTAAAGCTTATGGTAGAAAAGTGAGGTGAATAATGCCATTTTTAACTTTTCTTTCATCTCCTAAAAACTATTGTTTTAATACATATAGTGCCTAAGAGCTAACTATTCTCTAACAAAAAAATAACATTATGTAAAATATCTTACTGTAAAATAATATTAAGTAGTGTCTATCACCCAATATCATTCTCTAACAAAAGAATATTGCAAACCTTCTGGATTTACTCACATGGTGTCATGAGTAGTCTTGGAAGTTACTGAACCGAAGAGGGAGCAGGATTTGTTTCAAAAGAGGGAGCAGGATAAAAAAGAACCGTCATTTCAGCTGCCCTTGTCCTCCCAATACAGGAGTGTACATACTAGTAGGAGTAGATAGCGACAACACTAGAGAAGGCTAATAATACAGGCAGCGAACCGGGTGTGAGAATCTTTGTAGTCTTACTCAGACCACTTATATACTAGTTATTTTTTACTATTAATACATAATTCATTTATCTCTCTCAGAATTTTTCAGTTATCATATTTAAACCGGCTATAAACTTATAACCTATTTTTCTCCTCTCTCTCTCTTACCTCGCTATTCAGCCGGCTTACACCTGTTATACTTGCTCTTAGTGCACTGCTGGTGACTAGGCTGGAACCTGCTGGAAGATGTGAGTTTTTGGGGACACCCAGCTCACCTACCAACAGATGTGCCTCATTCATTCGTATCAGAATGTGTGAAGCAGCCACAGTGGAGACAGACCTACGCAGTAACCGGAGGAAACAGGAGTATCTCAGTACCAGATTCTTGTTGGTTCCTACTGTTAATCTTCATCGTTACTAAGGGCTAAGGGCGTGTTTAGATGCAAAATTTTTTAGGTTTTAGCTACTATAACACTTTCGTTTGTATTTAACAATTAGTGTTTAATTATAGGCTAATTAGGTTTGAAAGTTTCGTCTCGCGATTTCTCACCCAACTGTGCAATTAGTTTTTTTTTCGTCTACATTTAGTACTCCATGCATATGCCGCAAGATTCGATGTGATAGATCCTGCATAAAATTTTTTGGAAACTAAACATGCCCTAATATCATTCAGATCCAACACCTTTTGAACTGCAATTACAAACATGGCAATGTGTAAGGATGAATCTTCTGAAACCAACCTTCGCAACAAAAACAAAGAATATTCTGAAACCAATAAAAGGATCGTGTGTTCTTGCTACCATCACCGTGTTTTGAGCGACACGCTGAACATCAGCTTTCTATATTGGGGGGAAATGGCATGGACTGCCCAGCGACCTTGGAAAGGAAACCTTGGAAACATGTCTGCATCTCACGAGAGCTCAGTGCTAGATGCTAGGGCTGTTCGACTGGTATTAAAGCTGACTGATAAGTCGACTAAGGACATGTTTGGCAGGGCTCCTCTCCGGCTCCGGCTCCTCCAGAGGAGCCCTACCAAACGTTTTCTTGGAAGAGCTGTTTTTCCGTAAAAAACAGAGGAGCCGGAGCCGTTTTGGAGGAGCCACAAATTGTGGCTCCTCCAAAACGGCTCCGGCTCCTCCGGAGGAGCCCCTCAGGAGGAGCCGTGCCAAACAGTTCCTAAAGTTAATTTATTGTGAGAAAAAAAAACTGTAAATCCTAGCTGATAAGTTCATTTCATTTCCTAGTTCTTCCCATATCACCAGTGACATGTCAGCCAAATAACTCCAACCAGACCAAAGAATCACCAGCAGAAGACCAACATTTTCAGCAGTCATCAACACTTAAAAATACATTACTGTAAGATTACTACAAACAGAGATCAAACAGCCCACTGAACCCTTTTCTATACAACAAAAAAAGACAAAACCTTTTTTGTCCCAGCCACTCACTTAACACTACATACTTACTAAACACTAAGCTAAGCCATGAACAGTTGAGCTCCAAGAACGGCCGCTCAAGTCGGAAGAGCAGAAAAGGGGTTCACGGAGGTGGGGTTGGCGACGGCACGCGTCACGGTCTGGCCTTGCCGGCCGCGGCCGCGGCGGCGAGGCCGTGCATGGCGCCGAAGCCGAGGGAACCGAGCCCGAGGCAGCCGAGGAGGACGCCGCCCTGCCGGTATGGCAGGAACGTGCGCCGCCGCATCTCCTCCGCCTCTGCGCGCCGGGCCTCGTACAGCCGCGCATACGCCGACCTCCTCGCCCTCCCGCGGCCTCGTGATGCCGCCGCCGGGGACGACGGGGAGGGGTTCCTCTTGGGCGCCGCCGGCGGCGGCGGAGGCGACGGGTTGGAGGGGAGAGGTGGGCGCTCGCCGCCGTCGGACTTGCTCCGGTGGAGGATGTCCTTCAAGAAACCCCACCTGCGGTAGTAGCTTCTTGACGACGAGGAGGAAGCAGAGGACGCCGTCGAGGAGGACGACGACGACCGCGACGCCGACGGGGCCGCCTCGGCCTCGCCCGCCGCTGCTGGCTCCACGGACTTCGCCGCCGGGGCAGGCGACGACGACGGCGATAGCCAGCGGGAGCGGAACGGGGAGAGGGAGCGGTACCGGCGGTGCACGGGCGGGCTCCGGCGGAGACGGCCGCGCTCGTGCGGCGGCGGGGGGACGTCTCCGTCGAGAGGCGGGAGCGCCTGCGGGCGGAGCAGGAAGGACGTGAGCCGCATTGGCCGGATCTGGCCGTTGTGGAAGAGCTCGTCGGCGGAGGACATCGCCGCCGCGGCGGGAGACGGGCAGCGCGAGAAGTCGAAGTCGAATCCCAGCTCGCAGCCGTCGTACTCATCCGCAGTGCCGGGGCCGCCGCGCGCGGGGCTCGCCGGCGCGCTGTAGAAGCAACCGGCAGCGGAGAACGACGGGTCGCGGTCGGGGCTGGACGGCGCGCTTACGAAGGGTGTGGAGCACGCGCTTTCCTCCCCACTTGCGCATCCAACGCCGCCGCCACTGGCAGTGTGGTCGCCGGAGCTGGGGGCCATCGGGCCGGCGACGGGTGCTGGCCAATGGCAATGGGGATGGTGACACACTGAAGTGAAGAGGATTTTAAAGCGCCCGAGAGGAGTTTGGTTGGATGGATGCTGGATATTTTCTTATTTGCACCCCTGAAAACCTGAAATTCTTATTCATCTTGATAGAGACCCCTCCGGAAATTTGATTTTGAGATAAACAAATGCAAGTAAAAACATATTCAATCAAATATGTCTGTTCGAAACACCCCGGCTCTACTCTGAACTATAGAGAGGTAAAATGGTAAAAATAAAGAGACCAATGTTGAGAAGATGGCTTGTCTTTCATATGGTATGCAATCCAAATCGAGCTATATATATATATATATATTCTTAGATAATTATGTTATAAAATACGTGCTTATGCACGTTTGCAAAAAAAAAGGGGTCATAATATTCGCATGCATGTGTTATTAATGCTGCCTACTATTATGTCCAGGACAACTAATGTCACGAAACCTCCGGCAAGGAAGCCTAGAGGAAACGCGAATGAACACATCACACATGCAGCTGCATTTAGGGTCCGTTTGGCATGGCTCCGGCTCGTGAAAAAACAGCTTTGGTTCTGGCTCGTATGGAAAAGCAGTTTTTTCTGACTCTGGCTTATTTTGTACGAAAACGTTTGACAAAACGGTTTCTCCTAGTGTAAAGAAGATGTGAAATGTCCAAAATACCCTTATATTTTTTTTCTTTTTCCTTTTTTCTCTTCATTTTTCTTTCTTTTTTTTATTTTTCTTTCCATCTCCCTTCTTTTCTTCTCCTTATCCGAACGGCCTCACTCCATCCATCTCTCTCTCGGGCGTTCGGATAAGGAGCTACCGGCACCCACTCCCTCCATCCATCTCTCTCTCTCTCTGGTGGAGCAGGAGGCTGGCCGCGGAGCCGGCGGGGCAGCGCAAGAGGCCGGCGGCGGGGCGGAGCAGGGAGTCCAGCTACCCCAACCGCGCCTGGCCCCATGGCCGCCGCCGCGTAGCGCCATCGGCGGCAGCTGCGGCCCCGCATCGACGTCGTCCACTGCTCATCCTCCCGGGACAAAGATGGAAAATGAGTTGTTGGGACGAGGAGAAGCCGGTATGAGCCACTATTTTTTGGCTTCTCCTCGGTGGAGAAGTGTAGAGAGCGGGATTTTAGGGGCTTTCGCCGGCTTCCGTTCGTGAGCCGTTTTGGTTTTGTCCGTTTGGCACGGCTTCATCAAAAGCCGCTCGAGAAGCTGCTCGTGAAGCCGTGCCAAAGGGGCCCTTAGTATTACTAGTATACTGCTCGTGCTAACGCTACGACAACATGGCTATATGCAAATTAGAACTTAAATATATACAAACTAAAATAACCAAATTAAATTGCAGAAAAAGGCAACATAATTGTTAGAGAAAACACTATTCATGCCAATGATTAGAACAACCTTGACAATATCAAACACATGATCTGAGTCCGTTCCGGTGATCTAATAATTAATTGATATCATGGTACAATTACATGTTTATTGATTTCTCCCACAACACCCCATTCAAGCCTTCTTCCTCCAAAGCTCAATACCTTTAGTTCTAGCTTATGGCAAAAAAAAAAGGTAATTATAATTTGAGCTACTGCCAGTCAGCCATTGCCCATATATCACTTGCCCGGTTGGCCGTGAAATCTGCGGTCCAACAAAAAATAAATAAGAAAAAGTATAACAAATTATTATTTGGTGTACATTGCTAGTTAAAACAACTTGATAATTGCAACTTTTATCCATAACTTGCTAATTCCATTTTCACTCCCGCACTGACGCTCCAAAGAGAATCAAGCTGTAATGGATGGAAATGTGACATCAACAATCTAGAAGACAACTTGGCAACACCGCCTCAAACTGCCGTGCACTATGCATACCTCCACCCTCTAATAAGACTGCAAGAAAATTATTTTGTTCATTCCACAACCTGTATATATTAGGGGACTTAAATCCTAGCATACAAGTGCAAAGCATGGAATTTAACAAATACCTTCAAGAACATTCTGAGCACAGCAGATGACAGCACATAGAAGCAATACCAGGGGAAAGAGATCACCAATGTTGTGGCTGTGGCCGTAAGAATGACAGGAGAAGATAATCAAGGTATCATGACCCTTCTTTAGGCCATTATATTAGGACTTGCTGGACATGTTGGCTCTGGGAAGAACTTCAGAAGTTGTTTGTGCCTATATTGCCATGTAGATTTGCATAAAAAAATAAGCATTGAATGTATTACAAAGCTGTAAAAAAAAGGAATTTATCTCAGCACACCTTCTGATCGGCATTGCCATATTATTGGAGGATTGTTGCTATTACCGGAGAGTGACGTTTGACGAATCACTTGCCTAACTGATGGATGAAATGCTTAGCAACCTTTTCAGAAACTCTTTTATGCCGTTACAAAGGTATGCATGTAAGTCACCACCCCGACAATACTCCAATATGAGAGATATCCTCCCATGATCCTAATCATACCAAATAGTGGTAATTATTAGTTAGAAACAGAGTTTTTACGGTCCCTGTGCATGGGAATGTCTTTATTTGCTGACCAAGAAAGAGATAACAGCATTAATACCAGAGAAAAATTAACCTATGTTCCACAAAATCTTAGCTTCCAGAAAACATCAATCTAACAAATTAACCAAGCTAAAGCCCACATAGCATTTCTGAAAGTGCATCTAGCCCTTTAGTGGGTTTTAGATGATTGAATGACAACGTGATTAAAGGTCTAACCCGTTTGCTAAGTGTGGACTGGTAATAGGTTATCTCACCGGTACTTAATGAAAGCCAAAATGATGTGTTGTTGTATAAACAATCTAGTTCAAGCACAAGACAACAATACAAATGGAATTCATGCAAAGGCTTGTTTGTTGTGGGATTTTCATGTACTATGTGAAATCAAGCCCGGTAAAAATTAGTTGATGAGATATGAGGGATTGCATATGGAATGGTCTTATATTTGATGCTTGCTAAATTGAAATGAAAAAGATAACAATACATATGAATAGATGATTCAACACAAGATGTGACTTGATAGCTTGAGATGGTGAAGATAGCAAGGAAAGGCTTCGAGGTACTAAGCAAGGGTGAAGGGCAAGCGACGGCTTGGCAGCCGAAGAACCTAGCTAGGGTGAAGAAGGAAGTACTTGCATTTAGTTGAGATACTAATCAAGCTACGATTGTCATATTGATGTGGAGGATCAAATCTATATTAGACAAAAGTGTTTGAAGTGACTTGATACATTTGGGATTATTCAAATTTGATGGATGGAATCAAGTCACGTGCTTAAGATGGCTATGCTCAAGTGAAAAGATCAATATCAACATGTCGACACCCTCACTTGATGAAGAGTGGGATACACGGCTTCGGTTGAAAGAGATCAACTCAAAAGGTTTAAATTAATTATACTCTTTATAATTGAGTTAATTGAAATGTCGTACTATTAAGAGGGATGCATCATGTTGATAGATAATATTTCATAAGTGCTCAAGCCAACCCATGTGAGTTTAGAGTGTTTGAGAGACAAAAGAGCTAACTTGTGTTTTGCTAGTCTGGCAATACTAGACGTGTCCGGTATTTACCCAGCAATGATAAAATTGTTGTTCTCGGGTTGGTTCGTCGGGAGTTCCGACGTAAGTCGGGAGTTCCGACGGTCGGGAGTTCCGGTAATGGTCGGGAGTTTCGACGTCTCGCGCTTTAACTGACTTGGAGAGTTCACTGTGGTGGTCGCCAATGGCTAGTTTTCAAAAGCCTTGAGGGTCGGGAGTTCTGACATGAGTCGGGAGTTCCGACGGTCAGGAGTTTCGGCATAAGTCGGGAGTTTCGACACCTCACAAACTTCAACTCAGTTACTTAGTTTTCAAATATACTGAGGGTCAGGAGTTCCGACGTGAGCCGGGAGTTTCGACGGTCGGAAGTCCCGGAATTCATTGGGAGTTCCGACGCCTCACAACATCACTGTAACTTAGTTACCGTTGGGGCAGTGTAAGTCATACCTGTCCGGTATGTGTCCGGTATGGCAACGGCTATAAAACGGCTAGTTTTTCCAAGGGGGCTATAAATACTCCCAAGCCTCCACCTTTGGAGGCTGCTGATGCTGCTGATTCTGCTGATACAAACACGCGTTTTTGAGCCTTGCCAACTCTCCCAAACCCTCTCTTAGTGAGTGTGTCGACGAAATATGGTCGGCAGTCCACCGAGGGGTATGCCCATGATGGTAGATTGTAGATAGACGGTGCGTGTAATCAGGAACCAGATGGTGACACAAGGCGCAGAGACAGCGATTTAGACAGGTTCGGGCCGTCTGATCGACGTAATACCCTACGTCCTGTGTCTTTGGTGTATTGTATTGAGATGTATACCCCTTGTCCTCCCTGAGGGGGACCCCTGTCTCTCCTTATATAGTCTGGAGGAGGAGGGTTATAAGTAAAGTATCCTATTTGGTACTATTATAATATCCAGTACAACTTGTAATCTTATCATGCACGCCTCGATCTTATGGGTCAGACCACCTCGGATGGTGCGGCCCATGTACCATCTTGTGGTACCCGGGGGTGTATCCCCCATAGCTAGTTCCCGAGCGCCATGTATTCTAATGCGACACGCCATTTTAACCTTCTCCGAACAGTGAGGCTTGAGTTTTTGACATCTCCGACCACCGTTGTTGCTGGAGAAGTAGGTTGTCCGAAGAATGTATGGTGCTCTTAAGAAGAAAGAAAAAGATTTCCGTCCTGGGAAGTGTGCCCACTTGTATTTCTCAAAAGAAATGTAAGTGCGTCTTGAAGCGTAGCGTCCTTGATCATCAGAGGCGTAGGGGTCGAAAAACAAACACATTCACCGCAAGGTGAAGTGTGCCCACTTAGTCCCCGAGCCTGGTAGTAGGTGACGTAGGCACGTGGTGCCAGGGTCTAAAAAGAATTCCCAGTTAAGTTGAGAATCCAATCGTCGTACAGACGATACGAGATGCACCGGCAGGTGCATCGT